TGGCCGTAATAGCTGGAAGGGGATAGGTCTGAACATGTCGAAACTGGGAAAGAGAGTTGCAGAAAATGATTCAGTGGGAACAGAGGTGAGACATTACAGCTGTGTTTGTGAGATGCAGTCCCATTTAGCTAGAGAGTAAAGTTTGTAAAGAGGAGTAAATGGTAGGGGATAGAAGGTTGGTAAAGGGATCATGTTGTGGAGAGCCTTGAATTCTAAAATTTGGAGTTTGTATTTAATATTGTAGGTAGGCAAGAGGAACACTGCACTTTTTTTTTTTTTTCCCAGCAAGGAAGTCATGACCAAACTGTATTGGGTAGGTACATGTAAAGAGTTAGAAGTCTTTCATGAATTGAGAGCTACAATCATTTACTATTTATAGAGAACACACAATGTTCCAGGTACTATTGCAAGAAGAGGAAATGAACAAGACAGACATGCTTTCTCTTCTCTAGTGTTTATATTCTTGGTGTGTGTGTGTGTGTGTGTGTGTGTGTGTGTTGGGGGATAGTGTCAGGAAAAGAAAGACAAAAACATAAAAAAAGAATGAGATACTTTCACAGTATATGGAGTGTTATATAAAGTTGTAAGAAAGAGAATGTGGGGAAAGGGAATTTAAAATAGTTTTGAGAAGGAATGCCTCTCTGAGGAAGTGACCTTTGAGAACTGAGGGATTAGAAAGAACCTATCAGAAAAGTATTCCAGGGAAAGGGAACAGAAAATGTAAAGACACTAATTTGGAAAGATTTGGTTCATCTGTGAACCAGAGAGTGGTAGGAGATAAAGGTGAAAGTGGCAGGGATCACGATCACAGGGAACTTAATGAACTATGGAAAGGAATTTAAGTTTTAGTTTTAAGTGCAAAAATAATTGGCAAAGGGTTTTAGAAGGGTAATGACATGGTCAGTGATTGAATACAAACTTACTTGGGATAGTGGCCCTTGGAAAGGAGTTGAGAAGCCAACAGGCCATGTGGAGTTAAGAGCAAAATGGATTCGGCAATTGAATAAGTATTGAAGTTGAGCGTGAGTCTAAGGTCATTGTGTTGTGATGCTGTTAGGCTTAGAGTAAATGTACCATTTTTAGAAATAGGAAAGTCAGTTGCAGTTGTTTTACTGGGGAAGAAGAGATAGATAATTTGTAGGTGCTCCACAATTGACAGGTAAAATATCTATATAGGACATAGCTAGAAAAATAGGTTTAATGCTTAGGAGAGAATATAGGGCCAGAAAAAAGCCCGGCTTCATAAGCATGGAGTATCATGGGATTTTAAGGAAAGAGGATGTAGAGGAAAAAAGTAAGAGTAGAAGTTGAAGACAAAACTTTTTTAGGGGGCAACTATTTGGAGTTAGGAAGGAGGCTGAGGAAAAATAATTTGAGGTTTAAAACAAAGTGCAACGTCACCAAAGTCAGGGAGGATGAAATATGAAGAAGGAAGGGCTGGGGAAGGAAAGCCAGAAGTGGAGGGAGGAGGCAGAGTATGAATTTGGTAAGTCATTGGTGACCTTTAAATGGGAGGAAGGAGATGAAATCAAGCTGCAGAGAGTGGGCAGTGAGGAAGTAGACGTTTTCCAGTTGAAAAATCATTATTTTTAAAATTTGCAAATAGTATTCATTGTGGAAAACGTGGATACTTAACACATCTTTAAGTATCTGCGCTCGTGAGGCTGGCATTGTGGTGTAGTGGGTTTGCTGCTACCTGCAATGTCAGCACCCCATATGGGTGCCAGTTTAAGTCCCAGCTGCTCCACTTCCGATCCAGCTTCCTTCTAATGTACCTGGGAAAGCAGCCGAAGATAGCTCAAGTACTTGGGTCCCTGCCACCCATGTTGGAGACCGGGATGGAGTTCTAGGCGCCTGGCTTCAGCCTGGCCCAGCCTCAGCCACTGTGGCCGTTTGGGGAGTGAAACAGCAGATGGAAGATTGATCTCTCTGTAACTCTGCCGTTCAATTAATCAAAACAAATCTAAAAAAAAAAAAAATGCCCTCTGCTGGGATTCAAGGAGAAGTATCATGATTCTTCTGTTCATGAAGATTACAGTGTGGGAGAGAGACATATAATTAAAAATTCGCCATTCCTTAATTCCTTTATGTCTTCAGTTCTTCCCTCTGATTAGAGTCCACACTCCATTATTAAAATTATCCTTGTGAATATATCTTCAACAGACTTGTTCATCTCCCCCACCATTGTAGTTACCTAATTAAATTCCAACACTTGTTAAATTCAGCTCTTCATATATTCCTTGCCTGTACCTGGGCAGCTGAATGTGGAGAAAAAACACAACTGTGCTCACTTGTCTCACATTAAATTAATGACTACTAACTTCACATGGGCCCTTAGTACTGCCCAGCTTAACTTCAGCATTTCCACAGTTCATTTGCCCTGTTTCCTAGATGACAGTTTTATGTATTCTTTTATTTTTTCTGTAAATTGATAATCCTTCTTTCCTTCATTAAAAAAAAGATTTATTTATTTATTTGAGAGGCAGGGTTATAGGTAGAGAGAGGGAGAGACAAAGAACAAGGTCTTCTATCTGCTGGTTCACCGCTGGCACCTGGCTCCTGGCTTCAGATTGACCTAGCTCCAGCAGTTGTGGCCATTTGGAAGAGCGCTCTCTCTCTCTCTCTCTCTCTCTCTCTCTCTCTCTTTCTCTCTCTCTCTTTCTGTAACTCTGCCTTTCAAATAAACAAATAAATCTTTAAAAGAAAAAAAAAAAGATGCTCACATTCCACATTGGAGGGCCAGGTGTGATTCCTGGCTCTGGCTCCTGACTCTAGCTTTCTGCCACTGCAGACTCTGGGAGGCAGCAGTGATGGTTTGAGTAATTGGTTCTTGCAACTCAGTGGAAACCTGGATTGTGTTCCTGGCCCTAGTCCAGCTCTGTCTGTAGTGGACATTTGGGACGTATAGCAGCAGATGGAATTTCTTTCTCTCTCAGTCTGTTTCTGTCTCTTTTTTTGCATCTCAAATAAAATAAATATTGACATTCTAAGCATTGTTTAATTTAAATCAATCCATGGGTTCAAACCTATTGTGTTTGACCTTTCACAAATCCCTGTACCTGATTTATCAAATATAATAGTGTGACATAAGGAAATAGAAAGGAATATTTTTCTCCTCTAAATCTGCATGCTGCATGCTGCTAAGAAGAGTTGAATGGTGATGGCACCATATTTTGCTATGATACAGTGAAATAACTTTTCAGATTATAAGTTATGGGGCCAGGGCTGGCACTTTGGTCTGGGAAAGCAATAGAGATGGCTCAAGTCCTTGGGCCCCTGCACCTGCGTGGGAGACCTGGAAGAAGCTCCTGGCTCCTGGCTTCAGATTGGCACAGTTCTGGCCGTTGTGGCCAATTGGGGAGTGAACCAGTGGATGGAAGACCTCTCTCTTTCTCTCTCTCTCTCCTCTCTGTGTGTAGTTCTGACTTTCAAATAAATAAAAAATCTTTAAAAAAAAATAACTTTACAGGACCTACAAAACATTGCCATTTTATTTATTTATTTTTAAAGTTGTATTTATTTATTTTATTTAAAATCAGAATTATGGGAAGGGAGAGGGAGGGATGAAAGGAGGGAGAGAGAGGTCTTCCATCCACTGGTTCGTTCCCCAAATGGCCACAGTGGCTAGGGCTGGGCCAGGCAGAAGCCAGGAGCCAGGAGCTTCATCTGGGTCTGCCGTGTGGGTACAGTGACCCAAGGACTTGGATCATCCTCCACTGCTTTCTTAGGCACATTAGCAAGGAGCTGGATCAGAAGTGGAGCAGCTAGAACTTGAACCATTGCCCATATGGGATGCTGGCTGGCTCTGCAGATGGTGGCTTAATCCACTATGCCACAATGCTGTCTCCCATTTTATTTATTTCCAAAAAGGTTGACTTTCATTTGCTTGAAAGGCAGGGCAAGAGAGGGAGAAAGAGAGAGAAAGAGATTTCTTCATCTGCTGGTTCAACTCCCCAAATGCCTGCAACAGCCAGGGCTAGGACAGGCCAAAGCCGGGATCCTGGGACGCAATCCACGTCTCTCCCATGGGTGGCAGGTTTAATTTAAAGCACGGTGCATGCGTGGCCCAAGCACTTGAGCTGTCATCTATTGCCTCCCAGGATGCATTAGTGGGAAGCTGAATCAGGTACAGAGTAGCTGGGACTACAACCAAAACTCTAGTATGGGATATGGGCATCCCAAGTGTCAGCTTAATTTACTGTGCTACAATGCCTGCCCCAACATTACTATTTTAAATTTTGTTTGTAAATTGTCTTTTAAGGGACCATTTGGATATAATTCAGTAAACAAAGTTGATCTGAGCTGTTCAAGCATTAAATTACTCCGATCTAAAAACATAGCTCTTCAAAAGCTATGCTTCCTAAAACAGTTGAATGAGTTCATTTACCAGTTGTAATGACTTAAATAGTAATTTTTGAGAATTATGAACAAGTGTAAAGGACAAAATAATATATAAGATGCTAGATTAGTTACCATGTTATAAATTGTTTGAAGAATTTAATTATATTTGTGTATTAACAATAAAATCAGGAGTGTGATGGTGATTATATGATGAATGTTTATCATCCCTTTCATATCAGGATGGCTGCTGCTCCCCTCCTCCCAAGACGTACAACCACATATTTTAGTCCTAAAGAGATTATCTCTGTTCTCCCTGAAAAAATATTTGTAGAATTTAAATTGGAAAGTTCATTCAGAAAATAAACAAAAGATAGTTTACCTCTTTTTTTCTAAATGTATTTATTTTTTGCTAAATTTGTTGATGCTGATTGATGTGTAGATATGTTGACCTTTAATAACCAAACAAATGAAATAAGTGTGAAAATAACAAAATATTCACACACATAATTATATATGTCCTTTTACCCCTTCTGGCTTCATTAGTATAGTAAAACCTTTTTTTATTATGTGATACCAACCTTTTATATCTCCATTTCAGAATAATACTTCAGGACAATTTTGGGGAGAAAAATCTACAGTTGTTGTCTTGTTGTTCACAGGAAGGGAGGCAATAATAAGTTAATAAAGATCTATCATCGGGATGGTAAATATGGCTTTTCTGATCCTCTGACATTTAATTCTGTTGTGGAGCTCATTAACCACTATCATCATGAATCTCTTGCTCAGTACAATCCCAAACTTGACGTGAAGCTAATGTACCCAGTATCCAGATACCAACAGGTACGATTATGGGGGTTCTTGATAGCTGCTTAGCAAGTCATTATTTAACAACATAGTTTGATTCTATTTGCCAGGCTTATCTGTTGTTTTTTTTTTTTTTTTAATTGAGTTGTAAAAAATTTCCTACTTAAGATTTTAAATGTTTTTGGAACTTTTGAGGCTACCTTTCTGTGACAGTTTTTTGCATGTATTTAACTTCATATAAAAATGCTTCTCTTCTATGTTTCACATTTAAACCTCATTTCTTTATTTTAAAATTTTTAATTATTTTAATGTGATTTAAATCCTGATGTTAATGTTAAAAAGGATTTTGTACTGTTGCATGCTTAATAATAATAAAATTTAAAAATTATTGGTTGTGGAAAAACATCAGAATTGTTAACATTTTTTATTTTTTTTCATTTTGCCTGTACAGGATCAGTTGGTAAAAGAAGACAACATTGATGCAGTAGGTAAAAAACTACAAGAGTACCACTCTCAGTATCAGGAAAAGAGTAAGGAATATGATAGATTATATGAAGAATATACCAGAACATCCCAGGTTAGTATATTTGTATTTGGGCTCATAAGTATGCAATGCTATAGTTACCTTATATTTTCCATAATTCACTTGATGACCTTTAGCTGTCTTAATATGAGGGTACTTCAGAAAGTTTGTTATGGGTTGGTGTTGTGGCTCAGCTGGTTAAGCTGCTGCCTGCGATACTGGCATCCCATGTCAGAGTTCTGGTTCTTGTCCCTGCTGCTCTGCTTCTGCTCCAGCTCCCTGCTAATGCACGAGAAAGCAGTGGGAGAAGCCCAAGTACTTGGGCCCTGCCACCCATGTAGAAGATCCTGATGGAGTTTCAGACTCCTGGCTTCACCTGGTTTAGCCCTGACCATTGTGACATTTTGGAAAATGGACCAGCAAATGGAAGATCTCTCTCTCTCTTTCCACCTCTCCCTCTCTCTGTCACTCTGCCTTTCAAATAAATAAAAGAAAAAAGTTTGTTTATAATTGGAAAAAAAGATAAATTTATTTTGATACAAAGAATTGAAATCCATGCATACTTATATATATGTATATATTGTCCATTTACTTTTTAAAAAAGATTTTATTTTTATTTATTTGAAAGACAGAGTTACAGAGATAGGTAGAGACAGAGAGAGAGGTCTTCCATCCGCTGGTTCACTCCCCAGATGGCCGCAAAAGTCAGAGCTGCACCGATCCGAAGTCAGGAGCCAGGAGCTTCTTCCGGGTCTCCCATGTGGCTGCAGGGGCCCAAGAACTTGGGCCATCTTCTACTGCTTTCCCAGGCCTCAGCAAAGAGCTAGGCGCTTCAGGCCAGGGCTTTAACCCTCTGTGCCACAGTGCTGGCCCTGTCCATTTAATTTTGAAGATCCTCCAAAAACATGAATTTTATAAGCTTATCTTTTAATTTAGTTTTCTGTGAACTTTTTTTTTTTTTTTTTTTTTTTTTTTTGACAGGCAGAGTGGACAGTGAGAGAGAGAGACAGAGAGAAAGTCTTCCTTTTTGCCATTGGTTCACCCTCCAATGGCCGCCGTGGCCGGTGCACCGTGCTGATCCGAAGCCAGGAGCCAGGTACTTATCCTGGTCTCCCATGGGGTGCAGGGCCCAAGCACTTGGGCCATCCTCCGCTGCACTCCCTGGCCATAGCAGAGAGCTGGCCTGGAAGAGGGGCAACCGGGACAGAATCCGGTGCCCCGACCGGGACTAGAACCCAGTGTGCCGGTGCCGCAAGGCGGAGGATTAGCCTAGTGAGCCGTGGCGCTGGCCTGTTTTCTGTGAACTTTTAAAAGTACCCTTCCTTATATCTTAAACACCTTTTTGAGATTTTGATCATGCAATTCACCCATTCATAAATCATTTTTTTGATTAATGATATGGTTTATATCAATATTAGCTGATTGCAAGTGACAAAAATAACAAAAGCTTCAGGCAGAAATTTTCTTTCATGTGTTTAGAGGTGGTATGGAGGTATTATGGCAACTCCAATCATTAGGACTTCAGGCTTCTTCCACTTTGTTGCCTTGTGTGGAAGTTGACTTACTGGTCAGCCATCACAAGCAAACAAGAAGGAAGAACAGGAAGAAGAAAGAAAGGTTTCCTATTTTTAAGGCAACTTCCTTGAAGGAGCACACACTGCTTTCATTTGCTTTCATGGTTAGAACTTAGTCATATTGTCAGACTTAGCTATAGAGGAGGTTGAGAAATCGAGTCTCAGACTTGATTGGGTGAGCGCAACTAACATTTGGAGATTTACTGAGGAAGGAAAAGCAAATGAATAGAGTTGTGGGAACACCTAGACTAGTCTAAACCACGTAATTTCTATATCATTCTTTAATAACCAGTAATAATTATTTTATCATATTTTTGATAAGAACAAAATTCTATTAGATAATTTATTTCTTTTCTTAACAAATTCTTACTCCTTATTTTGTTACTGTTTTCTTTTTTTAGCTAGACTTGGATTGGCTTAATTTGCCCTAAGTTGTTATTTAGTTCATAAAAAATGTTGGGAATTTTGATGAAGTCTTCAGGGAAGTTTATCATGTATAATGTTTAGGTTAGTACTGGCCTAAGAATATTATCACTCACATTTCTCATGAAACATTGTCTTGAAACACAAGTTATTACTTTGAACCTCAAATGATTTATAGAAGCATTAGTTCATGTTGATTCTATTAAATTGAATTCCAAGTGAATTCTCACTTCAAAAGCACTGAACTTTTTTAATGTCTATTTTTTAAATTATTGATTTGAGTTTATTATATCCTTTATTCTACTTTCTTTCAGTTTAATTTGCTTTTTTTAAGCTTGCTCATGTGGGAGCTTTTATTCGTTGGTTTAAAAACTGTTATCTTAGAAAATAAGCATTTAAAGCTATAAATTTTGTGATAAGCAATGCTTTAGGTATGTCCCTCAAATTTTGTTATACTATATTTTCATTTTCATTCAGTTGTAAATATATTCTTATTTTCTTTTGTATTTCTTTTTTGGTCCATATGTTATTTACTTGCTTAGTTTTAAAGATTTATTTATTTTATTGTACTTGAAAGCCAGAGAGAGACAGAGAGCTCTTCCATCCACTGATTTACTCCCCAGAAACCCATAGCAGCTGATATAGGATGTGAGCATCCCAAATGGCATCCTTTATTTATTTATTTATGATTTACTTATTTATTTGAAAGGCAGAGCTACAGAGAGGCAGAGGCAGAGGCAGACATAGAGAGGTCCTCTATCCAGTGGTTCACTCCCCAAATGGTCACAGTGAATCCTGGCTATCCAGAGTCAGGAGCCCAGAGCTTCTTTCAGGTCTCTTTCATGGATGCTGTGGCCCAAGGACTTGGGCCATCCTCTGCTGCTTTCCCAGGCACGTTAGCAGAGAGCTGGATCGGATGTGGAGCAGCCGGGACTTGAACCGGCACCCACATGGGATGCCTGCACTGCAGGCAGCAGCTTTACCTGCTATGCCACAGCACTGCCCCCACCATGACATCTTAACTACTGTGCCAAATGCCTACCTCTTTTATTTATTTATCTTTTATTTATTTAATTTTATTTGAAAGAGTATGAGAGAGTGCCATGTGTAATATAATCTCTAGAAATTCGGACTCTTAGATAACTTCTTTATTTCTAATTTAATCTATTGTAAGTGAACATATTCATTAATGTTACAGTGTTTTGAAATTTATTGACTTATTTCATGACTAGCATATGCCTATCTTTTGTGTATTCTGCAATTGGTATAGTGTGCTATAAATTTCAATTAGGTCAAAGTAATTGGCAATATTATTCAGATATCCTGTAGTTTCACTGATTTGTTAATTATTCTGTCAGTTATAGAGAAGGATTCTTAAAATCTTTATTTTAGTTATGTCAGTTTTTGCTTTACTCATATTGAAATTATTATTATTAGGTATTCATACATTTTTGGCAAGTTTACCAATATGAAATGATCTTTTTTTTTTTTTTTTTTGACAGGCAGAGTAGACAGTGAGAGAGAGAGACAGAGAGAAAGGTCTTCCTTTGCCGTTGGTTCACCCTCCAATGGCCGCCGCGGCCAGTGCGCTGCGGCCGGCGCACCGCACTGATCCGATGGCAGGAGCCAGGAGCCAGGTGCTTTTCCTGGTCTCCCATGGGGTGCAGGGCCCAAGCACCTGGGCCATCCTCCACTGCACTCCCTGGCCACAGCAGAGGGCTGGCCTGGAAGAGGGGCAACCAGGATAGAATCCGGCGCCCCAACCGGGACTAGAACCCGGTGTGCCGGCGCTGCTAGGCGGAGGATTAGCCTAGTGAGCCGCGGCGCCGGCCCGAAATGATCTTTTTATATCTGATGATTCTCCTGTCTTGAAATTTACCTTGATATGTGCCCACAAGCTCTCATATGCTGATTTTTGCATGATATATACTTTTCTGTTCTTTATTTTCAGTCTGCCATGTGCATCTCTTATAGACAGCTTATAATTGAGTCTGATTTTTAAACAAAAATCCAGCCTGACAGTCTTTGCCTTTTGTTTGCAGTGTACAATGTGTTTGTACTCATATTTCTTATACTTATTTGATGGAGCTGAATTTATAGTTATTGTTTGTTATTTGCTTTTTATTTGTTTCATCTTTTTGTTGTTGTTCCTCTATAGCTCTACTCTGTTACTACCTTCTTTTGGGTCAAACCATTTTTAGTTTTTCATTTTAGTTCATCATCTATCTTTTTTTTAATTTTTGACAGGCAGAGTGGACAGTGAGAGAGAGAGAGAGAGAAAGGTCTTCCTTTTTGCCGTTGGTTCACCCTCCAATGGCCGCCGCGGCCAGCGCACCGCGCTGATCCACCGCAAGGCGGAGGATTAGCCTAGTGAGCCGTGGCGCTGGCCTTCATCATCTATCTTTGTAAGCTATAGCCTTTTTAATTTTAGTTTACTTTTTTTTTTTTTTTGACAGGCAGAGTGGATAGTGAGAGAGAGAGAGACAGAGAGAAAGGTCTTCCTTTTGCTGTTGGTTCACCCTCCAATGGCCGCCACGGCTGGCGCGCTGCAGCCAGCGCACCGCACTGATCCGAAGGCAGGAGCCAGGTGCTTCTCCTGGTCTCCCATGGGGTGCAGGGCCCAAGGACTTGGGCCATTCTCCACTGCCTTCCCTGGCCACAGCAAAGAGCTGGCCTGGAAAAGAGGCAACCGGGACAGACTCCAGCGCCCCGACCGGGACTAGAACCCAGCGTGCCGGCGCCGCTAGGTGGAGGATTAGCCTAGTGAGCCGTGGCGCCGGCCTTAATTTACTTATTTTAAAAAATATTTGTTTGTTTGAAAGAGTGATAGAGAAAGCAAGAAAAGAGAAAGAGAGCTTTTATTCACTGGTACACTTCCTAAATGCCTGCAACAGCCAGGCTTGGGCCAGGCTGAAGCCAGGAAACTGGAACTCTATTTGGGTCTCCCACGTGGGTTATAGGGACCCGAGTACTTGGTCATCATCTGCTACCTTCCTGGGCACATTAACAGGAAGTTGAATAGAGAACAGAGTAGCTAGGACTTGAACTAGGCACTCT